GAAGGCTGGCACATTAGCTGCAAAGATGAACTTGATCATGAAGCTAGTACAGGCTTGCAAACCTGTCAGGGCTGTCATACTGAAGTTGGAGTCAACTGGATGGCCTTCATCCTCCATTCCTCTCTGAGCAAAATATTAAAATCTGTTCTTTGGGGTGGTGAACCCTCACATACTCACCAGACTTGGGGACTTTCTGTAGGTTCGGAATGTTTTACCCTTGAATTGTTCTTAAATATTTCTTCTGACTTATAGTAGAGTCTCAAAACCTAGGAAATGTCAGCGTTCAAATGGGTTAAGTCCAAAAGGGTTAAACAAACAAACAAGTAAACTCACTGCCACCGGGTTGATTTTGACCCATAGTGCCCCTATAGGACACCGTGGAACTGCCCCTGTGGGTTTCTGAGACTACAACTCTTTACAAGAGTAGATCTTTTCCCCTCAGAGCAGCTGGTGGTTTCGAACTGCTAATCCTGTGGCTAACAACTCAACAAATTCCCCAAATCAAACCCACTGCCACTGGGTTGATTCTAACTCATGGAAACCGATCAGATAGAGTAGAAATGCCTCATCGGGCTTCTAAGGCTAGAAATCTGTACAGAAACAAAGCGCCTAGTCCTTCATCTGCCAAACAGCTGTTGGGTTCAAATGACCAACCTCTAGATGATCAAACCACCACTTACTCCAAGGCACTACCCGGGGCTCCTTCCACATGGCACATAGCTCCTCTTCTGATACAAGAGCTCTACTGGCAGGTCCTCCCAACGCAGCCATTTGGTGATTGGGTTCAATGGATAATCCCAGGGCCAGTGGCCTGGCAGGGATTGTGGACTGTAGGCAAGGATGAGAGGCAAAACGTTTTAAATCAGTCCTGGGCCTCATGCCAGCCTCTAGCCACCACACTGCCTCACCCCTCTTCCAGGGGCCTATGGAGAGCTTGTTTAGGTTCCTTAGCTCTCTGGCCCTTGGGACCAGGACGGGGTAGAATTGTAAATCTTTACAGGAGGAAAGCCTCCTCTTTCTCCTTCTCAGCGGTTGGTGGTTTCAAACAGCTGGCCTTCCGGGTAACAGTCCACTTTGTAACTCACTACCCCACCAGGGTTCCCCATTGCCTGCTAAATTTGCTTTCTATCTGTAGGGCACTGAAAGCAAGGAGCACTGGGATACAGAAAGGGCGGAAAGCCCCATTCCCCTGGAGTTACTAGAGGACAAAGTTATCTTTAAATCCGGGTTCTATAAATAGCCTGGGATGCCAGAAAAGGCTCCCTCTCTGGAAGGTCTTGTTTTCCTCTCTTCCTAGAGGGGGAAAA